TAGCGTTCCGAGACTTCCCATGGGGTGGAAGAAAGCAATGAGTGAAGCTGGATACATGTATTCCAAAGGGGACAGAGCAAATGAGTCTGAGCATGGCTCGAAGACCGCTCACATGTACAAGGGTCAGACAAATCTTAAAGCGACCACCAAACGTCAGGTAGTCACATAAACAAAGCATAGCATATCCGAGTTAAAATTACATCATTCTTGTTGATTAGACATGAGCACTTACATTGCAATGTTGCGCGGAGTAGTTTCCAACGACCTGATACGTCAACATGCTGATGAAATCGTTGAAACGTTCCTCTGAAGACGTACCAGGCCACACAACTATGCAAAGAATTTATTACTATTGTTTAGCTAATTGCGGTTGCGAGTTTTATGCAAATACTTTATGTGGATTACAGGGATCAAGCACTATCTGATCCTAGACTTAGTTTCTCGGTGTTGGTTACGTGACATCGAAGCACACTGCCGCTATGCCACCGCACCTTGGAGACTTGACTGACGAGCCTTTCCTTACAATGGCAATGCATGTCATATCTAGTCACTACGGGATGGTACGCAGCATAAGTCAGGGGTGAGAGGTCCAGGAAATCAGCAACATATAGGACTTCATCACGGCTCCATTGTGATTCCTATTGCGCCCCCTAAAAACTGTAAGTCTGTACAACCCTCCCACCTTTTTAAGAGCCTATTTAAACTCCTGTACCTGTCGTCTGCATGTAATTGCGTAATTTAATAATTTCAACGGAATCATATAATAAACGAACATTGAATTGCTTGCTATCAGAAAAAGAGAAGCTGTTATAACAGACGAATGTCATTATTAAAGCTTTCGTCGATTTGTAAGTTCTAGTAAAATTTGTTTGAGGAGAAGAAAGCCCTTCGTCATCTCTGCATCAAGATCAGTTTGAGTGGCTTCTGTGGTTACTGCAAGGACCTCCCTGTGCTTCAAAGTCTCCACTGTGGAACCGAATCGGGTCACATAGCAGAGAGAATTTCTACGTTGTTGTATAGCGCTATCTCGTATATTTGAGTCCTTGGTGGCCATCAGGTGAGGCGTGTAAGGCCCTTTTGAGTAAAATTGACCCGGCAAACAGTGTCGGTGCCTTTTTATGCCTTAATTCGCATTTAAACAAGTTAAAGCATCGAGTTTGTGGTGCGGTTTTAGTGGCGCTAATGCGCAACGCTAGAGAATACTTTTTCAAAGCACCGCAATTATCTGCAGAATACATTTCGCACATAGAGGCGAAGGCATAAAAGCAAAAATTACGTTCTTGGTTGTATTTATACTTTTACTTTTCTTGGTAAATTACGTAAATTCACGGCATAAGATCCATGCTGTGAACACTAACTGATTAGAGGTAGACGTCAAACTGGACGTATAGTCCATCCTGCAATGCTTGGAACGCGGACACAAATACATTCAGCCAGTGCCGTTCGGAATACTGAACAAGGCGGTTGAAA